CTGTGCTCGCGGGCACACGCTGTGGGCCTGGTGCACGCCACACGCAGACACGTGTCTGGACGCTGCTTCTCTGCACTCAGGCGCTTATTATCTAGGAACTGCGTGACTGTAAATGGGCCTATAAGAATGACTGCCCTGTCCGGTGCCAGGAGCTGTTCTAGGCTCTGGGCTACCATAGGGAGCGAACTTCCCAGCATCCGCGTCTGTCCGTGTTGCACAGGCTTGTGTGGACTGGGCATTGTGCGTGTGCGTGTGCGTGTGCGTGTGCGTGTGCGTGTGTATGTGTGTGCGTGTTCATCGTGGGGGCTCCGGAGGGGCCGTGGAGGGCAGGCCTGGGGGCTCCCATTGGCGGCTTCCCCAGGAGTCACATGAGTTTCGGGGCTGAGGTGGGCACCCTTGGGGGACAATATGAACTTTGTCTCGGGGTGTGTGTGTGTGGGGGGGTGTCACGTGGTATAGGGTGTGTCTAAGAGCTCCCCGACTTGTTTCTCTTTCTAGGAGAACCCCAGCTATAAGGGTGATGCCTCTGACCCCAAGGCAGCAGGAGCGGTGAGGACGGACGCAGGGCTCTGGGCTGGGGGGAGAGTGGTGTACATCGCCCTGGGGGTGCATCGTGGGCAGGGGGCCCGTGAACCCCGGGAGGTGGGCTGGAGAGCACAGGCCTCTCTGGTGGGAGGCTGTGGTTCCAGGGGGCCTGAGAGGAGGGAGGGGCTCCTGCCTGAGTTGGGGTCTTCACCCAGGGAGCGCAGGGCCGCCCAGGCCGTCGGAACGCTGGGGAGAAAATCAAGTACCGCCTGGTGGCTGTGCCCCACGGCAATGACATCGCCTCGCTCTTTGAGCTGGACCCCACCACGCTGCAGAAAACCGACTCCTTCGTGCCCCGGTTGGTAGGCGCCACGTACCTGTGGCCTCACTGTCCCCTGGGACTGAGCTCTGAGCCGTGTAGGCAGCTCACCACCCCTGGACGCTTGTCGTGTGCCGGCCCTGGGCGCTGCTCTATCGAAATGCCTTCTCTCCAGTGTTCTTTACGGCTGGGTCTGGGGGTGGGGCCCCCTGACTGTAAGGCCCCCAACCCTGAGATTCTAGGACATAAGTCACATCAGGAGACCCCCTGGTGTCAGTCAGGCGTTAGCCCTCGCAGGGCCCTCAAGCACACCCCCTGTCCAGCGGGGTATAGTGTACCCATCACCAGCGCGGGTGAGGGGACCAACTGAGGCACTGCAGGCCATGCCCTTGGCTGCAGCTCTCGGGCAGGTGCCGTTGGAGGTTCAGATTGCCTTTTACTTCAGAAAGGTCATCACGTTTTATAATCAAAGCCATGGCTTTCCGCGGTGACAGCAGCACGTTGACACTGCCTGGGACACATGGCCTCGCAGCCTCATTTGTCCAATGAATTCTGGTCCCAAGTGGACAAGTCTTGGCGTGGAGCTCTGGGTGTGGGCGTGGGCGAGGCCGGGGGCCTGGGTCCGTGCAGCAGTTAGCGCAGGCCTCCTCTGGCTCCTCACCTGGAGGGGACCCACCCAGGCCCGTGTGGTCAGTGGGGAGATGGGAAGCGTTGGGCTGGGGGGCAGACGCCGGGCGTGCTGTGTACACTCGGGCCCTTCCTGCAGGAACTCGTATGTGCGGCTGCGGCACC